GAATCGCTCTTAATCAAAGCGATAGATCCAAAATTGAACGGAAATGAAAGGTCTATGCCACTATATGTATTTCCAAATGGCATTAGAATAAACAAAAGGAAGAAGACTAGGCATCGGTTACCTCTTCCAACTACAACAGGTAAGAAAAACACTAATCTTATTTGAACATAAACCAAAATAATTTTTTCTATCACAGATGCCGTTCAATAATAAACAACTATATCTCTCTTGTAAATAATGTACATAAACTCTCAAGACGTCGATGCTATTCCTGTTTCTTACATAATACTACAAATGAATTATCATATTAATGCTATACAAAAGAAGTGAACCTTAATCACAATGTTCTTCATCAACAACAAAGTAAGCAAAACCCCACTTTTACCCATAAAACTCATCTCCAACATTTCTAGTGACATCGATCTTAATCGAAAACTAATAAATCAAAAACATTTAATTCAAATATTCATCATATTGTATTATTTAATTCAAAACTTAAACACATGAAATAATTTTGATTTCAACCTTAAAATATGTAAGTACTCTTGACTATTATATATAAAAACCATTCAAAAAAATCTCTGCCCTTATAAAAAAAAAATTTCTATACTGAACCGAACTCTACTGCACTATCAGACAAGACACGAGCCTAACATCATCAACAAAAAAAAGATACTCATACTGATTCGAACAACCAATCTTTAATAAAAAAAACTATTTTACTACGAATAAAAAAAAACAACATACCCGAAGAGACGAACAAATAACATATTTCATTATAATAACATCACGACGGAATAATATCGTCCCCAAAGGATAAGATAATGATAAATATGAAACAACACGATCACTAGTACAACAGAAAGGAAAAAAAAGATAGACGAGAAAGAAGATACAACAGAATAGGAAAAAATTTACCTAGAAAATATCCGACGAGAACCAACAGAAAGCATAGCTATTATTCAATTTTAATATATAATACTGCGCAATAAAAAAAAACAAGTGCATGACGCAATATGCACAAAATATTGATATGCGCAATACCTTCTACCAGACAAACGACGCAATAAATCGAGATCGAAAAAACAGGATATGCAGTACGAACCCTGGACAATAGAAAGAGGGAAAAAAAACACTTCACGTATAGGTACAATTTCTCCAGGTCGTCTTATATTAAATATATTGTTACTTTTATTCTTGATGTTATAAAACATCGAACAACACAATTATCAAAAAGATCATCATTTTCTAAAACTGTCCTATCAAATATCCACAAATTCAACAATTATCTTTTTAAAATTAAAATAATATTTTTTTTTACAGATTAACCTCTAATTGACACAAATACTGTCTCAACATAATGAATACATTATTCTATGATAAATCAATTCTTCATTCATTCTAATCAATCTTCTTGCTTGCCCTCTAATATAATCATTTATTACGTTTATTAAAACAATTCAATCTCCATTAGATTATTCAATATCCACTACATTGAATCAATAGATGATTCAAAACTTACATTATGTTGCTGCTCTTCATTAGAATTAGAATTATGATATTAATCCATATCTATATTTATATTTAAATTTATATTTAAATTTAAAATTAAAATTATCAATCTATATGTTGTCAAACAGACTATTTTATTAAAACGACGAGTATATCAACTTGAAATTATATTTGCTTCAACAATGGCCGAAGTCTTAGGAGAGCCAAATAAGCCGAATAAAATTGTATTACAATTTATTTACCATCCATCAATATCATACATTCAATCGTATTTAATGGCATTTGATCTAGATATTGTACAAGTCTCGTATAATGGTAAAGAAGTACTTTGCGCGTGGTCATTTATTCGTGCATTAAATACAGGCACATTTATTTGTTTTAATTTAACAAACGATTTATCGACACTTGGTCGTACTGTACTTCGTATTGCCAAATACTGTCAAAGAAATTTTAGATTTTTATATCCACATGATTTTCAAATGGAAAGATTTTTATCTTTACCAGTAAACCAATCAAATATAAATCAACCAAATTATGATTCAATATCAGACGTACAATTCGGATCTAATAATGATTTTTTTCAATTACAAAAAAAATTTGTGAATATATTTATTAATCAAAATTTTTAAGTCACATGAGAGTTTTATTTTAGTGATAAAGGTTGATGAATACTAATATAATTCTATAACATTTACGTATACAATAAATAAAATATTGATTAAATTCTTTTATTTTTAAAGTTCTAAACTTAAAATAGTATAGAGTCATAGAAAATATTACAACATGTTTAAAAATAAGAAAATAAAAAACATGTTCTATTCATCCTCGCTTCGTGCATTATCTGAAGAGATTATTCCTTTCATTATATTGTTTTCTATCAACTATCTTTCATTTATCGTAATTTCTAATCTATTACAACACTAATTAGAATACATGTCTGTTGGAAATTTTGGTATTTATTATTGTAATTGTTTATCCTAAACCCATTTCGTATGTTTTTTTATTGATTATATGCGCCATGCTCGATGTATTTGGCACAATATATTTTAAAAGATAACCACTGTCGAGCTTATAATCTATAGTAAATTTTGTTTTCACACAATCTTTAAGTGTTTGTTGTTCAATCTGTATTATTTAAGACGCGCGTGATTACTTATTTAGTACTTTTTTTCTCTTTAATATCATAAAAAACAAAATATTTCTACCATCTATTGTCAAAATGAAACTACCAAAATTATGTGCTTGGTGTGGAAAATTCCAGAACGATACTTCTGCATTATATTGCACACAAAGGTGTAAAGAGTACGATGATGTTCATAATGTTATCACTCGTGCATTAAATAATGCGATGATGAACGGATGGTATATCACCATCATCAATGAATATGATAATTTGTACAAAATTTTATTTGAAACCTGTGCAAATTGGTATGATCATCGACGCGATGAAATTGGCTTCGAAATGTTTTCTATTTATCAAGTCTTACATCCTTCAATCATAAACAATTATGATGCGAACAAAAGTTTACTTTTACAACAACAATGCGAAAATCTTTTGTTTTATTTATGTACAACAACAAAATGATCTATAAATGTGTAACTTAGCACTGCTTAAAAATACATGTATATATTTCCCATCTCATAATATATAATGTAATAACTTTTCATTCGAGCAAATCTTTTTTTTTATATAAAAAAACCCATTACGAAAACACATTCAAAGACAAAAGATGCTAGATCAATAATAATATTTTGTATTCAACGTACGAGTCAATTAGTTTCGTTGAAATTTGTTTTTATTTTCAACTTTTCGTTCTAATTTACATTGCCAACTAAGACCTATAATACAAAGTAGATATAATACAATCAACAGCCATCTGTAGTTGATATGTCTGCAGTAATTAAATATCTTTAACTAAAGATACTAACGAAATTCTATCCCTTTTATTCAATAACAATATACAATTTACTTAAATAAGAAAGCCCATGTATTTACAAATAGTACAACGATTACAACATCTGACATATAGTCTCTGCAATAATAAAAGAAGCTGTATTTGTGATAGTTTTTGAATCAACGAAAGTACATCATACTGTTAACCATTTTTTTATGCAAAAAAAAATGATTTATTATATTGAAGATGAAATAACTCCATACAAAAATCACTATGATATGTTTTTTTTATCTATAAGTAATATTGATCAACTCTCATTCATATGTAAATACAGTCATATGCGCATGTAGACCGCGACAGTCTAGGGCCAAGTGAATCGAGTTTCGATGAACGTTACTTGTAGTTTCATGTTTTCTATGGAGAGTCCTTTATCAAGATAGGACCAGCAGATCCATAGCAAAATTAAAGAAATTTTGACATACTGATGTATCTTATTATTCGTAAGGAGATAAAGTCATAATTTTTTTTGTAAAAACACTAAATGATTACGAAACGCTTCTATTGGAATTTATGAATACATATTCTTTTCGTTTTCCTTAGTTGCAAACAATTAATAGATTTCAATAAATTTCACATTGCTGGTGGTTCTTTTTTGACATGTCTCATTCGTGACGTTATTTTATCACCTGGTCAATATGTCGACCTATTTTATACAAGTAATTCGCATAATGATTTTTTAATATCCGTCGTAAGTTTCAAAATTTATCTTCTTTTTTCTCTATAATATACTTTTGTGAATAGTAGAACAATATTCAGCAAAACTTACAAGATTATTTTTTTATTAAACGAACAAACGATCTCAAAAAAAAATAATTAACTTAAGATTGTTTGTCAATAAAACAGTAGGAGATCTACTTCGTGAACTGCAATATGTCGATCTCCAATTTGTTTACATAAAATCCAATCATACAGCAGATGAATTATTAAGCAATTTTGATATGGATGTAGCACAACTTTCTTTCGATGGTGAAACCTTACATGCAACAATAGCTGCTTTACAATCAATACACACCGAAACTATCATCCATTATTGTCTTAATAATAATTATCAGGACTATGCTCGTATAGCTATACAACTAAGAAAGTATATCAAACATGGCTTCCAGCTTCTTACACCAGTTACTTTTGATGTAAGAACATTTGAAAATTCATTACTACATCTTGCTAATCAAAATAGTACGTTTTATCAACAACAAAATATTAATAATGAACATCTGTCTGATGTGCAATTTTCAATCTATCATTTTAATTATATAAATAGTGATGAATACTCAGACATAGTATGAAGTAAAAATGACGATTGTTACAATGTGCAACGAAACTTTCTCCTACAAATTTTTCATGATAATTAATTTTAAAACTATCGAAAATATCAGTTATATTTTTTTTAGTCGTCTGATTCACTTCTTACATTTTAAAATAAATACAAGTTTAATTTTCCATTCACTTTATAGTTTGATTTAGTCTGTGCAAGTTCTCTAAACGTTTTAGCTCGGCAATCATATCAGGATGTGGCTTTTGATTTAAAATCGAAGCAGGAAAATGACGTAAAATGGCCATCGTATCGCGAGATGTAAAACGAGATATCGGTACATAAATATTGGCAAGATCAGGTTTCGAATATGGTGGAGGAACCAAATCAATAATACCATATGATAGAGTTTTGCCTTGACATTTATGTGTAGTTAAAGCAAAAGCAGGCACAATAGGAAGTTGAGATCGAGTAATAGTTATGCTTGTTTTATTATTTAATAATCTTTTTTGCATCGGAGAAATAAATGACTTTAAGTCAATTTTAATTGTTTTTTGTTCTGGCACAATTGGTATAATGGTCGGCTCTAGATCTGTTAATGACGAAGCAAGTTTGCATTGGGGTAGTTCTACTAATGCATACAATGGTTTGCGAATACAAACTGTATTATTTGGAAATTTTGGATCACCAGTATTATCCAAACGTAAATTTTCACCTTCCTCTATTACTAATCGAATTAATCGACCAATAGAACCATTTGAAATATGAAGTTCAGTAGCAATGTTGTGTGTTATTAGAACAGGCATATTCGGTACGATTGGCAGATATCCTGGCAGACCTTCGGTTTTATTATCTGGTATTGAGAGTAAAAAACGTCGAAGATCAATATTATCAATTTCAACATTTCGAACTCGATCATTTGCAACCACAACCATTGGTAAATAATTATTTTTTTTACTTTCATCGAATACACAATAGTTATTAATATTTGTTCTTACTTCGTTTCTAAATACTAGCATTGTGGCTGAGTTCCATGGTGCTTCTCGTAATGATTTCACTTCATTCTCGGGTGAAACAACACGTTTACATAACATTTTATAATCATCCTCAAAGTAAAGATGAAAAACATTATGTAAGTGATTTCTTTTTGAACTTACATCATTACATTCTCCTCTTCTCAGCCTTGATTGCATATCCATGAATAATGGGTCTTTATTACGCATTTGTTCGATCAGAAAAAAGACTTTATTCACTTGAAGCCATAGTGCTCGTCCAACTTTGCATTGTATATCACGTTCAGTTACATTTCGTTGTTTTGCAGTTTGTTTAGTGAGATTGAGAGTATCTTCTAAAGTATCTTGAGTTGATAATAAATTTGAATAAAGAGGTCGATCGAGAACCGGTCCGTATTGTACAAAATCACCAAGAAATATCATGTTGATACCGCCAAATGGTATCGATGGTTCCGTATGTTTTGCAGTTGTTGTTATCTTATGAAATCGTGCTAACATATAACAACCAACCATTGAAATTTCGTCGATTAAGCAGTAATCAATATTTCGCCATTCATTTTCGATGGTGAGAATTTCTGATTGCATTAAGATTGTATTAGTATTTGATTTTCTATGTCCTTCACGTAACATTGATTGCATAGTTAAACCATTGATACCCACAGCAGCTGCTGACGACGGTGCCAAACTACGTAATGTATGGAACCGATTGTGAAAACCCATAAATGCAGATATTGCTTCTGTTACACGAGACTTTCCACAGCCTCCTGCCCCACCTAATGTTATAGAAACATAAATAGGATGACCCCAAGTAACTTTACTAAAACAAAGTTGAATATTTCAGTTACGGCTTGACCAAACGAGCTGATTTTTTTTCTCAATAATAGAGGTCTGTTCAAGGTTTATAACCGTAAAGACAAGCATAGAGTGACCCTTTATTAACTAATTTTTTCCTATTTCTGAATAACAATTTTTCTGTTGAAGTTACTGATGATACTTAATAAAGGGTCACTCTATGCTTGTCTTTACGGTTATAAACCTTGAACATACCTCTATTATTGACAAAAAAAATCAGCTCGTTTGCTCAAGCCGTAATTGAAATATTCAACTTTTTGTTCAGTAAAGTTACTTTGGGTGCACTCTGTATGTATTTAAATATTAATCATGAAAATAAAAACGCACCGATATACATAAGTAATTGATCTGGTTTGATGCGGTTTACGTCTGTACTTGTTTGATAAATAATCGTGCGTTCTATATGACATTTCACAGTATTGAAAATGTTCGTTTGCTCTTTGTTAAGGTTGAATATTTTCTCAAAATTTGGTGTAGATATGTTAATGAAAGCATCTTTTTGGCTTGATATTACTACAAGTGGACTGATAACATTGTTGTCAAGTACATCCAAAGCCGAAAGCGAAATTTGCTCATCGTTGTGTCTTTGTTCAAGCATATTTTTCTAATGCATTAAGAACAAAACAAAATTAATTGAAATATTCGAACACTGCTACCTCTATCGGTTCTACTGGTGAACCATGTAATAATATCTTTCTTCTTTGTTCTTTTTGACTTTTGAGGCTATATTGCCACATTCTGATCTGTTGAATATCATATTCATCAGCTGTACGAATTAATTCATTATTATCATTAATTTCACTTGAGCTAGTTTTTCTATCATTAAATACAAAATCTGGTAATCCAGTAATATCTGTGATGTATGAAAAACGTTCTGATCGAATTACATTGGCTAATGTCATTCTTAGATATTCTTGTTTCATACGTGCACGTAGATCATCACCTTCAATGAACATGTATCAATACCAAAACCAAACTCGAAATATTTGGATTTTATCTTTTGGATTTTGAGTAGTTTTGGGAATCTTGGGGTAGCTTTAGGTTTGTAAGTTTGACGTTTTGGAAAATTTTGGTTTTCGCCAGTTCTGGGTTTTAGTTTCGCAATTTGCATTTTGGTCTTCTCGAGTAGTGCTAAACTAATACTTATTTCCAGCAAAATGATATCTTTATCTTAGTTATATTATACAAGGGTTGGTAAACGGATTGAATTAGTTTACTATAATAATCAGCACACTAATTCAGGAAGAGATCCAAATTCTGAAACCAAAATCCAAACCTGCTCAAATTCCAAAATCTCCAAATTCAAAACTATCCAAAATCGAAAACTCTCAAATCCGAAAAGGACCCAAAATCCAAAATTACAAAACGCAAAAGTTTTGTTATTGGAACATGCCTAACCTTCAACTGCTCGTTCATTTAATGATGATGGATTTAAATGATTAGATTCGTCCAATAGAGCAAGAATTTCTTCAGCATCTTCTATATCTGCATCGTTATACGGACTTGAAGTATTGACGGGTCGAGAACGTAACGGTTGATTAACTAGTTGAATTAGATCTGAGTCCCGATCTCGTTTACAATCATGCAGAACTTGTATATTGTTTATCACTTTGTTAGATCTTGCAGTAAAGGTGGCTTCACGTACTTTTAATGCATCACGCCATGTTTGATCTAACTCACAAACATTCAACGGACTTCTCCATGGATAAAATAAGGTTAAAATAGCTCGTGCATAACGTTCAGCAGTATCTTCACGATCACGGCGAGGTATTGCAGGCCCGATTAAAACAGGAACAACATTAAAAGATCGACGGATGATTAAATGTGAAAAATATTGTAGATGATTAGGTTGAAATAGCCACCGATCATTTAATGGTCGTCCGCGTCGTGCTTCTGATGTCGGTATAGAATTAACTTCGAACAAAACTTTATCCGCTGTTGTTATCTTCGTTTTTCGATATTCAGAATAAAAATCATAAAGGCAAACATGGCTGAGTTGTAATGATCGCAGTGCATAATCAATCCGTTTATTACAAAGTACAAGATGTTCTTCATCGATGCCAGCTTCTAATTCAAATGATTCATTCTGTTCATCATCTTGTTCATAGTTTTCATGAAATGATTCAAATAGATTTAATCGCAAATCGTCAATCATAAAGGATTCATTAGTGGTGGAATTTGATTTTTCTTTCAACTATATAATGTGAAATTTGGAAATTTAGACAAACATGCATTTTAAAACAAAACTTTTTAAACGTATTTTATTTATATCTACCTTCGTAAGCGATTGTTCTAAGTATCGTTCGATACCGATTAAATGAATATTGACAAATGTGTGTGAAGTGTAGTGATCGGGCCAACCCATTAGGTACGACGCGACTTGGACAGATGAAATTTCTTGCTGCGATGCTGATGTATTAAAACATCGCAGTATGAGACGACGTGATTTATCTAATGCATCTGTGTAACTTATGTTTTGTGCATTTTTTTCAAATTTATCAACAGCTTGATATATCAGAGAATTTGTGTCATGAAAAGATAAATTTTTTTTTGTAATATAATCACTGATATAATAAACAAGTGCTTTAGTATCAGCACCTGACCAGATGAATTTTATATCCATATTACATCTATACAAATAATTCATATATTAGTTGTTAATAAAATAAATCTTTCGTATTAAAGGTACTAACCTACAAGCAAGTAAAAGCCACTCGTTAAAATTATTCATCATTGGATGATCACGTTTCATTCGAATTTCTCCAGTTTCAAGGTCAATAGTTGTTTCATCGTACATTTCTTTTGGATATCGTAAACGGCAGGGTGGATCGTCTATTGTTAGTCCTTTAATATATTTGTAACAGGTACTGGTGTGACGATGAATTTGATTTTCAGAAGCGAAAGTTCGTACTAATAATTTTTTTATTTGTTCAAAATTTGGATCATTAGGAGAAGGTATTGCAGAACATATTGATATTAAATTTCGATTGTGTTTGTCAACGTTCGATACATCCGATTCTGAAATATCATTTTGAAAAGAACGTAGATCTTCTTTGATGATATCTTCTAAGTACTCGATCAAATTATGTCGGAACGTCTAAAGAACGACAGCAAAAATATGGAAAGAATATATTGATTTAAAACAGGTTTTTTTTGCAAATTTCGGTTTAAAAATAGTCAAAATCTTTTAGATATAATTCAACACGAACACATGTTTACAATTTATCAAATTGGAACAAAACGATATATTTAGCTTGCAATTAGTCTGACCAACCTCATTCATTATCAGCTCTCGTAGTTCATGCGGATTTTTGTTGTTCACCAGCCAAAGTAACATATGCAGGTGTAATGCACCACGACCAGATTCTTCAACTGTACCATAATAAGCATCGATTTCACCTAATACACCACCACCTGGATTTGACGTATGTTTATTAGTGTCATAACCGATCAAAGTAGACAAAACTGTTGTAATAAGTTTATTAAAAAACCTTGCAATGGCGACAGGATGTTTCGCAACGATCGCTGCACGGTCTTGTGATTTGGGCATTTGATGAACCATTAAATTATCAATGTCAAGATCTACACCGGCAAATTTCATTGCGAGTGGATGGTGTAAATCACAAGGATTAATAGTAATGAAAATATTTGGAAGACCTGAAAAACGTTAGGGAGTGCAGTACGACACAATAATTAAAAGAGGCTTCGCGAGACCACCAATCAACCCGTTCGGAAGTATTTTTTTTTGGATTCTTTAGCTCAAACGAAAGATCATATTGTGAAACTTATAAATCCAAAATATTATGTTTTTTTAATTTTAATAATTTTGTATTATTTATTTATGCAATGGTGACGGTGAATCCCGTTTCACTGTATCTTACAGGTAACCGTTCTATAGGCTTATATCCGCGGTATTAAGTAAATCCCGCTTAGTAACAGGCTATACAAGTAACAATCAATTGCTGATATGAATCGGTGAACAGAACTCACTATCACTCTTGCATTCTTAGTATTATTTTACTATGAGTTTTGCACTGAGCACAATTAATATCGTACTTACTAAAAATCCGTCCAACTTTTTATTTCTTTGAGTTATATATCAAAAGATGCAGAGTTTTAAGGTCTTTCAGAATCTGGATTCGTTTTTTTGGGATACCATGACTCGATGAGGTTAGAGGCAGAATACTGCCTCAGAAATGACCATCAACTATAGACTTCTCCGTTGTGCAGGAACAATCACTTACGAAAAATTATTTTTATAATTATGGACATAGGCCATTTTGTAGAGAATTTTTTTCTGCATCCTTTGAGACCATCCCCGATTCAAATCAATGGACAGAGATGGAGAAAAGCTCAAAATACCACCACCATGTGAAAAGGGTCAGTTTTTTTTTAATTTTTATGATCTGCCTCCAAAAATCCGAGGGTTATAGTCTTCGGAATTTTCCCACAGGTAAGTCAGAAACACTTGATATTTTGGATTTATAAGTGTCATGATATGGCGTTTTGTTTGACTCAAAAAAAAAAAAAAAAAAAAAAAAAAATTAGTTCCCTAGGGGTTGTACGGCCTTTTGGCGGACGCTCTCGTAAAATACCTGAAAAAAATATTTGAGAATGCAGTTGGACCCGACAATTAGCACGTGATTGATATGATCCCATTACACTGCCAGAAACAGTTTTTAATTGTTTCAATAAAGCAGATAAACGTGGATTTGAATTATAAGTGAATGTATTTGATTCAATTTGATTTAGAGCGATTTTCACTTCAGCTGCTGTCAATTGATTAATTTCAATAGATTGTGAACTGAAATATGGTCTTGATACAAGTATACGTGCTTTTGCACATGCTGTTCGTCGTTGTAAAATATTAAAAGTAACGAATATAAATGAAGTATTCATCTCGAAACGATGATCATGAAATGACAAAAAATAACGAATGTGTTTTCCATATGGTACACGCACTAGCCTTCGTTCGTCTTCAACCCCACCCATTCCATATGGAAATAAAGTTGGATATAAACCTGTATAAACAAAATACACGATCTTAAATACGTATGTATCAATACTTAACTAATATCTATACCTGGTAAGAACGACGTGTTGAAGTATTCGGTTACTGGATTTTTACTATGTGGTACAAGATAAATATTATCATTCAACATTGTCAATTCTTCAGTAATATTAATACGTTGTCTTAAATGTTGTCGAATATCACTAGATGATATTGCTGTAGCACTTGTATCCATTAAACCACTTGCATTCAATGAAATTACATCTGTAAAACATACTTCATCTGAGTCTAAATTACTCTTCACATAGCCAGATCGTTCAAAATTACAAGATTGCTGTTCATCTACCAACGACATAGTATTCCATAAACAATCAGGCACATCATTTATTGGTAAAGTATCAATTAATAAATCATCAATATAAACATCTTTATATAAGATATTGTTTTTGCTCAACCAGATAAGTGCTTTTCGAATAATATCTCGACGAACGGTTAGAATCGATCGTATTCGGTCTTTTTTTGGAAATGTTCGACCCACAAATATAATTTTAATAATTTCGGGTAGTGTATTCGGTGATAACGGAAGGGATCTTGCAATGTCTGATACATTTTGAGGAAAAGTTATCACATTGCCTTTAAGTGCTGTTTGTGCTAAAGATGGATCACCTGTAATACTAGATAATTTAATAACACAGCTTGAGTGTCGATACTAGACAAACGAAACTTATTTAAATCCTATATTTATAAATGATAAACATTTACTAATCCAATTAATTTTTCTTCTGGCAAAGTTAAACCTTGCAACTCTTCAGGAACATCACCAATCCACATTAGATTATTTAATGATAAAGAAGGTAGTTTATTCATCAACAAATATTTGTGACATTTATTACATAAATATGCAAATCCGGTTGTTAAATCGATTGCGTTCAGGCAAAGTAACATTTTATTGATAATGACACTACTATCTTTAGTATTCATAAGACGTTCTTGAATTTCCTCTGTTATATTATAGACAAAATTTATCATTAAATCTGATGTTAAACTACTATTTCGAAAACTAACCTGACATCTGAACATTGCCATTGACTGTGTCAATCTCAATATTTATACGACTAACACATGAAGGCATTTCATCGTTTGGATATAATAAATGTTGATTTGGAATTTTTGCAATATTCATTTCAACACTTTCTGATTTGTAATGTAAGCATGCACATATCGCACAAATAATTTGATGCACTACGTGGTTGGACATAGCATCTTTGAACGCATTAAGACAACGATGTTTTATTTCAGTTGTTGCAGTTTTTGGCCATACTTCAGTTGAAGATTCTGTACCTTTTTTATGACGCCTTTACTCAATCATACATATATATAGTTTTGACAGAATATGAATGTTATCCTTACATTTTATCAGCATTTCTTTTCTGTTGTTTTCGACGCTTTCTTTCTTCATTAGTTTCATTTTGACATCGTTTGTGCCGTCTAATTGATTCAAACTCATTATTCAATTTTAAACGTTGTTCACGTTCTTCAGGAGTTTCTAATTCATCTGTTATCAATCTTTGATTGGTCTTATGTGTTGCTTCTCTTTTCAACCTTATAGATCGTTTTTCTTCATCCTCTTCTAAATCACGATTACGTCGTCGGTTTGCAGCAATACCTGCTTCTTTGCTCAGTCTGATTTTGCGTTCTTCTTCGCTTTCCTTTAGATTTCGTGCATGTCGGTTAATTGTTCTGATTTCGGCTTCATTACCGAGTCTATTTTCACGCATTTCTTCACTTTCCTATATATCATATCAAATTATTCCATCGTGCCGTCAGCCTATTGATATAGAAATCTTACCACTAAATTACGTACACATCGTCGAGTTCTCTTGCTAATTGATTCTTCAATTAATCTTAACTCGTGTTCTTCTTCTGTTTCTTCAACATTTCGAATGTTTCGCTCGGTTGCTTTTATTTGGGCTTCATGATCAAGTCTTGTTTTACGATCTTCTTCATTTTCCTACATATGATATTATATTATTCTATCGTGTTATTAATAGATTGCAATAGAACTCTCACCAATAAATTACGTGTACACCGTTCAATTCTCCTATCCATTGCTCCCTTAATTAATCTTAACTCGTGTTCTTCTTTTGTTTCTTCAAGATTTCGAATATTTCGTTCGATTGCTTTTATTTAGGCTCAGAGATGCTCGTCGGGGCACCCAGATGGTCGGGGCCCATGGAGAACCCATGGGGTGACGCCCCAAATGGGGATGGGGCGATATGTTACCCCATCATCTTTCCCCACAATGGTGGATTTTCGCAAATTCATTTCCCTGCCCATGGGGTGGACCATGGGGTGAAAAATCTTTTAACCCCATGGTCTAAATGAACTTTTATCATTTATGAAATCGTTTGAAAAAAATGGATGACGAGACTGTAAAAATTGTCTTATCGTCGTACAAATAATACAGAATGTTACACGTTCTTCCTATATATTTTCTCTTTTGTTCTTCATTTTTGTTTTTCGTTGTTTTTCTTTCGTATTCAAGTAATAATATGAAAACGACGTTCCACTCTTTCGTTTTCTTTCTATAATTTTATAGTTACCTTCACTATTTTTTTCATTTTTCCAGCCGCCATTACTTCTTCTCTTTACTTTCTGTGTTCATCTTTCCATCAGTGACATACTTAGAGTATACCAAAAGTAGTGGTGCAAGTTCTGTAATTCGCTATAACACGTTTTAAGAAACTTTCTCTCTATATAGTTTGATAGAGAAAAGAATGCTCCATATTTCTATAATATATGATTATACTTCAACTAATATTATAATAATAAAATTTCGATAAGATCTATTTTGTTCACATGTATTACAACAACATGAATGCTAGCAAGTATTTTCTTTTAAATAACTTTTGATAAAAAGAAGATAGAGAACTGCAGTTTTCACTATTAAAATCAGGAGATGAAGATGCATCGAATTGTATATTATATGTTTTTTTAATATTGATTTCTGAAGTTTTTTTATTTAATTTTCTAACCGCCAGTAAAATGGTTTTTTATGGATAAAATGGAAAAGCAGAAAAGTTATCTTTTATTATAGAAATTGCTAGAAAGTCGTATCAGAGGCGCCACTAGAATATAAATTATTGATGTCAAACGTCTGCAGTCTGTAGATTTTCGATTAGTGATTTGAATCTACACTTGATAATTGAAATTTCACTATAAACAACTTACTAAATAGATTTGTTCTTAAAAAAGTCAATTTAAAAAGTCACAGAAAACAGATCAAGAAATTCTGTCATATATAATTTGAATGAATTATCTTTTCTGTTCGCCCTATGGGTGGGGCGAAGGGCGCCCATGGTCGGGGGTGAGCTAAAGTTCAAAAACCCAGACTCCCCATAGATGGGGAAAGTGGTTTTATAAAAATTGGCTTGTGGGGAACCCTGCGCATGGAAAGCCCATGGGCCCCATGGGGTGCTGAAAAATATCACATGAGCATCTCTGTTTAGGCTTCATGATCAAGTCTTGTTTTACGATCTTCTTCATTTTCCTACATATTATATTATATTATTCTATCGTGTTATTAATAGATTGCAATAGAACTCTCACCAATAAATTACGTGTACACCGTTCAATTCTGCTATTCATTGCTCCCTTAATTAATCTTAACTCGTGTTCTTCTTCTGTTTCTTCAAGATTTCGAATATTTCGCTCGATTGCTTTTATTTCGGCTTCGTGATCAAGTCTTTCCTTACGACATTCTTCAGTTTCCTACATATGATGTTATATTACTCTATCGTGTTATTAATAGATTGAAATTGAATTACTACCAATAAATTACGAGTATATCGTCGAGTTCTCTTGCTAATTGCCTCCTTAATTAATCTTGACTCGTGTTCTTCTTCTGTTTCTTCAACATTTCGATTGTTTCGCTCGTTTGCTTTTATTTCGGCTTCATGATCAAGTCTTTTCTTACGACATTCTTCAGTTTCCTACATATAATATTATATTATTCCATCGTGTTATAAATAAATTGAAATAGAACTCTCACCAATAAATTACGAGTACATCGTCGATTTCTCTTGTTAATTGCTTCCTTAATTAATCTTGACTCATGTTCCTCTTCTGTTTCGTTTATTTGCCGATTTTTTCTTTGATTTGATCTAATCCGACGTTCCTCATCAACTCGCATTTCACGTTCTGCTTCCGTTTCTTTCTCTTTTCGACGTTCACGCCAGGCAGCAACTCTGTTATTTGAAGATTGACGTGGTGAGCAGTCAGTAACATTGTTAACCTGTTTGTTTCTCAATACTATTTTGTGTTAAATATCGCATTTTATTTACCTGATTTGTAGTGCTTTGTGTACCTATAAAGAACAACAATTATTTCAAACAACTTTTAAAGGAAAATACTTCTGGCCATCAATCTTTTCGATAATGACATCGTTCATTTTTTATTTTAGTTTCCACATAACATCATCCGAAAGGATTGATATTTGTGCACTTTTATACTTCTATATTAGAAGTGTTTAGATTTTGTTGTATAAATCTGAGAAACAACTAGTAATGAATCCCAGTATTTCAATTAGAAACTCATCTATGGTGGTACTTCTATGATTTAATATATTGATATTTATTTTAATAATTGAATAAACCAGCAGCTGTGAATTACAGATTAAGTCATCCGTGATGTCTTTTAAATGAATATCAGTACTTTCTCAAATCAATCACAAATCAAAAACTCGTATAGTTCCAAGAACATCTAGTTTTATATAAATATAATCTCATTTTTTTTGGAAAAATAACTTCATCATTATATTTCGTCTGGCTGTATCTTATGGAGTATTCGTTATATTTTGCTTCTAAAAGTTACAGATGATGAAACAAAAACACTTTTTAATATGTGACAACCGTTATCAATTAATTCAGCACAAGATGAAGCTAGCGTCATTCAAAAATTTGCATACTATAGCTACATTAGAAGAGTGACATACGTTGAAAAATCTTCGTCTACCAATACTTCACTCTAACGAATGCATTTCCAATCACTGGCAAAATAAGCATAAGATACATCTATTTATTTTTTTTTTATATATTCTTTCGTGAAAATTTCGTCACAAATTATACAAAACTTCATATGAGGTTTAAACCTCAAGCAAACATAATTTCTTATAAATTTGTAACAAGTTTCAAGCATATCAGTATGTTGATCAAAAGGGATAATCAAATAGCTTTTCGAAAAAGTTACTGACTTAATAAAAATTTACTCATAATTTTTATCCTCTGAGATTACATTACATACTTAAGATCATGTTCAGTTGTTGTAATCGTTCCTCTCTGGTATCAAAGAAGAAACTACGTTTATGCGGCGATTTGTTTGCATTCATATCGTTGTTCATCTTTCAAATAATAAATATTAGTGTATTTTTATGATTTTTAGTTATGTATTGGCGCTGTTTGCACAAAAAAAATGAATTTTATTTCGTTTATTTATATATCACATTTCATTAATAAAAATAAATTTTTATTATTGTATGATCATTTGTATCATAATTATCAAGTCGATTTTTTGATCATGCTTTTACTATCATCACTAGTACCACAATCACTATGGCGATTTTCACCATAGTTATTATTTGGCCATTTGTACCACAGTTACCATGGTCATTTTGACCATAATTGTTAAATAGTCGTCTGGACCACAGTTACGATGGACATTTTAACTAAATGGTCATTTGTACCATAGTTACCATGGTCATTTTGACCATAGTTGTTATTTGGTCATTTGCACCATTGTCGCTATGGGCATTTGAACCATATGGCCATTTGCACCATAGTTACCTAATTAATTTTGGAAAAAAATGGCTGTTTGTGCCCAAAAAATGGTCTCTTGTGCCAAAAAAATGGCCGTTTTTGCCAAAAAATGGTCGTTTGTGCCAAAAAAATGGCCACTTGTACCATATGATTATTTGTACCACAGTTACCATGCCCATTTTGACCATAGTTGTTATTTGGTCATTTGTACCATGGTTGCTATGTCGTCACCTGTGCCATAGTTACGTGGTCGTTTGTACCAAAAAAATGAACGATTGTGCCATAGTTATCATGGTCATTTGTACCATGGTTGCTATAT